TTTATTTAATTAAAGTGCTATAGTCTATTCATTCGAAGCTTTCTGCCTCTCTGCTATCTTTCGGCCAAACCCGGCTAGCGGAATCTGATTGGTCCTTAAGTCACGTTGGGGTTTGCGGCACAGCAATAGCGTCCCGCTAGCGCGTCATTCCGATTGGTGAATTAAAGTACGCCTTCTTCATGCTGAGATCCAATACTGTTATACACGCACCCCGTGGTATTATAGTATATATATAGCTACATAACTATATATATATATAGTATTATATTATATTCGTGCTAATAGCAGCTGATAGAGAGATATGTACATGCATCATTTTCCCCCCGCGTGCTCTGTGGAAATCTTTGTTCTCACCACGGAATATTATCGCAAGGAGCTATAAACACCTATACATAGGTATTTGTTACGCTCTTCATATTATCAATGGTCACCACCTGTAAAACGTCACCGTGCAATGATGTTTTTTTTTGCACTAACGCGACAAGCAGCATGTAGACGTAAAATCAATAGCTAGCAACGATTCCTGTCTTAGGTGTTACACATAAGCTATGCACATAACGATGCGAGTCCCTGAATGCACTTTGGTACTTACATATATTTATTATATATATTATATATATATATATTAATATATATATATGCTGAACGTAAGTAAAACGAGGCATTTACGGTGTAGAAATGTAACGATCGCCATCATATTGCCGATAGGACTGTGTCAGCGAGGTTAGGGCAAGTTAGGGATTCGTCAGAGTAGGGTTCGTCAGAATAGGATTCGTCAGATAGCGGTATTCGTCAGATAGGATTCGTGCAGGATGAGGCATTCGTCAGATAATTAAACGAAAATTGAGGATAGCGTTGAATGCATCTCTAAAGGACGGTAACAACAATGGCCAACGACAGGTTAATACTATAAATTTAAGCCATAAACAAGTAGCATACAGTAGCCGTAAATCTGGACTATGCTCCCACACCCAACAACGCAACCACACACTATTTACGGGCTCTCTCGCCGCGCGCCGCACGGCAACCATACACACCAACCTCCGCACGCACGCATGCGGCCACGCACACTTGCCACGTACGCACTGCTTACCAAACAATTTTCACACACGCACGCACACACTGCGCTGCGCAGCTCCACACTGCGCACGCGCCCACACTTCTGCCACGCACGCATGGCACACAGGCACGCAGCGCAGTCACTATACACGAGCGAGCAACCGTCGCGGGTTTGTGGTGTTTTGTTTGCAGTTCAATGCATTTCGTTGCTGTATAAGCGTTAGGCCCTTAATGCGATGCGATACTCGCACCAATGTGGCACGCAGGAGCGCTGACGGCTTGTGGTTGTCGAGTACGGGTGTTGTCGGGTGAACGAATGGAAAACATTCATCTTGTTATTATCATTCACAGTAATATATATATTAGACGCAGATGGCCCGACCGAGCCGAGAGAGAAACCATGGAGCAGGGAGGGGGTCGTTATAAGCCGATAGAGAAACATGAGGCAGGGAGGGGGCGTCGTATATAAGCCTCATAGGAGGAACATAGAGCAGGGAGGGGGTCGTTATAAAGCCCGATAGGGAAACATAGAGCAGGGGAGGCGGTCGTTATAGAGCCGATAGAGAACACATGGAGCAGGGGGAGGGGTCGTTATTACAGCCCGACTAGAGAACATGGGGGCAGGGAGGCAGCGTTCGTTATTAAGCCGATAGGGAAAACATGGGGCAGGGAGGGGGTCGTTATAAGCCGATAGAGAAACATGGAGCGGGTAGGGGCGTCGTTTAATGGCCCGCATAGAGAAACATGGAGCAGGGATGGGCGTCGTCTATAAGCCCGAGAGAGAAACATAGAGCAGGGAGGGGGGTCGTATATTAAGCCCGATAGAGAAACATGGCAGAGGGAGGGGGTCGTTGCTAAGCGCGAGAGAGAAAACATAGAGCAGGGAGGGGTTGACCGTAGGGAACTGCAGGAGGTCGTTATAGGCCCGATAGACGAACATGGGGCAGGCGAGGGGGTTCGTTATAAGCCCGATAGGAGAAATGGAGCAAGGGAGGGTGTTCGCTTATTAAGCCGATAGCAGAAACATGCGGGCAGGGAGGGGGTCAGTTACTAGCCCGATAGAGAAACATGGGGCAAGGCGGAGGGGGTCGTTATAAGCCCGATAGAAGAAAGCAGGCCGGGTGTTATAACGAGGACATGGCAGGGGGGTCGTTATAAGCCGCATTAAGAGAACACATGGGGCAGGGAGCGGGCGTCGTTATAAGCCGATAGAGAAACATGGCGCAGGGAGGGGGTCGTCTATAGCCCGATAGGAACATGGTCGGCAGGAGAGGGGGTCGTTTAGAGCGCCGATAGAGAACATGTGAGCAGGGAGGGGTCGTTATAAGCCGATAGAGAAACAATGGGCAGGGAGGGGGGTGTTATTACAGCACGATATGAGAAAATGGAGCAGGGAGGGGGGCGTCGTTGATTAAGCCGATAGAGAAACATGGAGCAGGGGGGGGCGTTATAAGCCCGATAGGAGAAACATGGAGCCAGGAGGGGGTCGCTTCATAGCACGATAGAGAAACATGGAGCAGGAGAGGGGGTCGTTATAAGCCGTATAGAAACATGGAGCAGGCGAGGGCGAGTCGTTATGAAGCCGAATCAGAGAACACAGGGGCAGGTGACGGGGGTCGTTGAAGCACGATAGAGAAAATGGGGCGGGAGGGGTCGTTGATAAGCCGGAGAAACAAAACACAAAGCATAATCCAATAATGGGCGGTGAATTACGTAAGAAACTAGCAGAGGGCACTCACGAAGCAGCATTCCGCTGAGATCTAACATGTATGGTGCCTCGCTGGTGGCGGCTGCTGACTGACTCGCTGCTGCTGACTGCGCTCACTGGTGGCTGCTGCTGACTCGCCACTCGCTGACTCACGCTGCTTCGACGCGCCAAAGGCTACACACCACACACACACACAACACACACACACACACACACACACACCACACACACACACACACACACACACACACACACACACACACACACACACACACCACACACCACACACACAACACAGCCACACCACACACACGGACGAAGACGATTACATTGACCTCCGTTGCCAACTCCGTTAGGCGCGAGGTAAATATCCGAAACACAATAATAAATCATTTGTGAATTTGCGTTCGTTAGCGATGCATACAATGACGCCGGGGCGGGGTGGAGAGAGAGTTTTCAGTAAGGAATTATCTGAAACAAAACAAATTTGAACTGCAGTTCATTACGATGATGCGCGCGAGGCTGGAGCGAGTGGGGTATGCGGTCGTTGTCTGGGTGCGGTGCTTTCTCCCTGGATGCTGCGTGCATAACAAACTCACACTCGATACTCATCGATTACTGATGCAGTCGGACAATGAGTGTTTACATCCTCATTCCTGCATCAATCCATGTAACACTGATACTACACTATTACTAGCTATGCTAGCTACTCCCGCCTGCATGCGTACAGGCCACACTCGCTGCCACGAGGAGCGATGTGTTCGATTGTGTGCGAGGTGGCGATGCTACTGCGTCACTGTGGGCACCTAAGTCAGGTGGAGTCTGTAGGGGAATTAAAATGTAGGGGGTCTGTATGCTGAGTGGAAACGGGGATTTGCAAGGGTACGGGGTATCTTACACGCCAGCACTACTGAGGGTCGGTGTTTGTGACGTTCTGTGAGGGAACACAGTACCGAGAAGCTTGTCTTAGTGAAATCTTCGGTGCTATTTTGTGTGCACATATCTCCATGCATGAATATGGATGGTATAGAATAAATCATGGTGAAAACACAATCACTTCACACACGCACGCACGCCGACGCACACACACAACACCACACACACACACACAACACACACACACACACACACACACACACACACACACACACCACACACAACATTGACACACACACACACACACACACACACAGCACACACACACGACACACACACACAACACGCACACACGCGGATCACCTTCATGGAGTTACTTGCAGAACAAAATGACACTAATTGCGTAATGCGCACCATCGAAATATCGACATGCTTGGCAATTGAACTGTTCCAAAATGCTAGGCCTGGTGTAAGGCCGAAGCTCAAACCCGTCGCTACGGGTGCGGCCGTAGAAGTTCCGCTAGAACCGCGCTAACCCCACATCGAACCATTCTAATACGGACGGACTTGCCAGTACTGTTGCCACTTAAGAACATTGATGGCTATGATTCAATCAGTGCCACGTATTGGCAAACGGCGAAATGTCGAACCTGTCAAACTGTGACAGTCTCCGTGACGGCGTGCCCGCTGGGAAACGTACGGTATACCCTAAACGCGTCGTGTGACGGCGCGACACAGGTATGGTAAGTTGGGTACACAGGGTAGGGTTAGGGTATTCCCTAGACAGTACTATACGACGTAGTAGATACTAGTAGTCCTGTACGTATAAGTACTAGTAGTACGTAGGTGACCCTGTGACTTGCCTACACCGCGGCGAGTGCTGAAGTGTCTCGACTACCAGGGTCGGGGTACACAGGGTTAGGGATATTGTATATACCTATACATAGACGCCGCAGACTCGCCCACTGCCCCCGCCGCTGGAAGTGTCTCCTACCCAGGGTGGGGTAGTTAGGGTACACAGGGTAGAGTATTGTATACCCTATAGACGCCGCAGACTCGCCCACTGCCCCCGCCGCTGGAAGTGTCTCCTACCCAGGGTGGGGTAGTTAGGGTACACAGGGTAGAGTATTGTATACCCTATAGACGCCGCAGACTCGCCCACTGACCCCGCCGCTGGAAGTGTCTCCTACCCAGGGTGGGGTAGTTAGGGTACACAGGGTAGAGTATTGTATACCCTATAGACGCCGCAGACTCGCCCACTGACCCCGCCGCTGGAAGTGTCTCCTACCCAGGGTGGGGTAGTTAGGGTACACAGGGTAGAGTATTGTATACCCTATAGACGCCGCAGACTCGCGCACTAACCCTGCCGCTGGAAGAAATGTCTCCTGCCCACTTTGCGCAGGTGGTGAAACGCCGTCTCCGCTGCCAGCACGGCCGCCGCCACCACGCCTCCGTACACGAGCACGAGGAAAGTTCCGCTCAGGTGGCCCATAGATAGCGCCGTCGTCTGCATGGTCGTCTCGGGGTGATTCATGCACAGCTTGAGCCAGATCGGGAAGATATCGTTCAGCCACTTGGCGAAGAGTCCGCTCTCGATGCTGCGCACCATGGCGTGGTCGAGCACGCTCGCGTACGGGCTTCCGAGTGGCAGCGACCACGCCATGTTCGCGGGCAGGAAGCGCACGGGCGAGAGCGCGAGGCGGCAGAACGGTTGCCCCGCGGCGTCGTGGCCCAACACCTCCTCCTCGTCCTCCATCATCGCCAGCACCATCTCGACGCCGTTCCCCGTCATCGCCGCGTCGCCGCGCAGACTCCGCCGCAGGCCCTCCGGCATCGAGTCGACCGTGGCGCCATCTACGCCGTCGATGGTCGCCCAGAGCCGACCGAGGTCGCTGTCGGCGGGACTCGACGATAGGAGCTCGATGATTGACTGTCCGCGGACGACGACGGGCTGCACGCCAGTGCCGCCTGCCGAGAGTTGTGCGAGCGACGTGAACGGCTGCTTGGCTTGCGCGATGGCGAGCAGGCTGACGATGGTGGCGCCGTACAGCGCCGCGACGATTATCGCGAAGCACCACCAGGTGGCTAGCATGACGCGCGCGGGTGTGGCCGCCGGGAGCCGCGGCCCGCCCTGCTTTAACAGCGAGCCGAACACGTACCGCGCGTAGTACGCTAGCAACGCACTTCCCCTTCTGTCGCTCGCACAGCCCTCACCGCCCCCGCGATCCGCCGCGTGCTCCCGCCAGGGGGCGAGCCGACCGTCGAGCGCTGCGGTCGTCGCGGCCGTCGCCACGGTGACGGCAAGCAGTGTCAGCCACGTCGTCACGTCAAACGCCGCGAAGAAAGTGAAACCGCTGACGAGCGGCGGCCGACGCACGAGGAAGGTCTTGTGCGTCTTGACGAGCGGCGAGAGGAAGGTGACGCGACGCTGACGCTGCGGCGTCACCGTCAGGAAGTTGAGCAGCACGTCGACGCGACCGTCGGCGACGAGGGAGACGGCGTCGTCGGCGGCCGGGATCGTGACGACGTCGAACGTGAAGTTGTAGAAGCGCGAGAAGTCGGCGAGGATCGAGCGGCTGAGGGTCAACCAGGCGTGGTCGGTGCGCGGCGTGCTCTCGTAGCGCCAGTAGCCCGCCCGCAGGTGCGCACCGTGCAGGCCGTCCTCCGGCGACGCGCGGGCGGGCGGCGGCGCCCCCTGGAGGCAGCGCGCGCAGGATGCGTTTATGGGCGGTTTGTACGGCGTGATGGCGGCGGGGGTGGCGGGGTTTATGAGGGCGGCGGGGGTGGCGGCGGCGGCGGGGGTGGTGAGGGATGTGGGGGTGGTGGCGGGGGTGGCAGGGGGTGTGGGGGTGATGGCGGTGGTGGCGGGGGCCACACACACACGCACAAAACTAGCACCACACACGACACACCGCGCCGGCGCAACGACACACACACACAACACACGACACACACCACACCACGCTGACGCACACCACACACACACACAACGCACACGGAAACGACTCACACGCACGCACGGCGGCGGCGCGGCAACTACACAGCAATATCACACACACAGCAACTGCGCACAACATACACACAACCACGCGCGCGCGGCACATACGAGCACACACGTCGAACGACAGACACAACAGACGCAATCGCACCGCTACGCACACTACAGGCACACGCGCGGCGAACGAACACACACACACACACACGGGTGATGACCGGTAGCCGGGGTCACAGCAACACAGGGGTTGGCGCACACGCACACACACCGGCACATGACAGGCACACACAATCACACGCACGACACGCACACCAAACACGCCGACACACACGCACGATACCACACAACACACAACGCACCGCGCGGCGCACACACAGGGACCACACGGCCACGCACCCGCACGGGCACGCGCGCACGCGCGGCGCGAACAAAATAGAAATAGCGCGCTAAGCACAGGGTGTCGGGTCGTGCTGGCGACCGGCCGGCGGAGATTCCAGCGGGCGTGTACTGGTGCTCCGCCGGGACGCCGGGCGATGGGCTGGGGTCCGTCGAACGACCTGGTTGGTCAGTAAACAAGGGCAGCACTCGACTAAGCTAGAGTTCATGACACTCGCCACACTTGCGGCAGCTGTCTCGTGTGTGAGAGAGAGGTGCTGAAGTGACCAACGAACGACGGGATACGAACACACGAACACACCTCGCCAACAATGCCGGTGAGCGCAAAAGCCCCCCACACCTCTCATCCCCGGGGAGGGGAAGGGGGAGGGGCATACCATTACGCTCATAGAGAGAGAGAAATAGGGCCGAGATCTGAGACCCACAGAAGGAGAGGGGGGGGGGAGAGGCGGGGAGAGACAGCAGAGAGACCAGAGAGAGTCGAGAGAGAGAGAGAGAAAAGCAAGAGAGAGCGAGAGACAGAGAAACAGAGAAAGCGAAAGAGCAAGAGAGAGAGAGATAGAGAGAGAGAGGAAGAGAGAGAGGAGAGAGAGAGAGGAGAGAGAGAGAGACGGTGAGAGATGAGATGTAGAGTAGATAGATAGATAGAGAGAGAGAGAGAGAGAGAGAGAAAGAGAGAAAGAGAGAGACAGAGAGAGCGAGAGAGAGAGAGAGAGAGAGAGAGATGTAGATAGATAGATAGATAGTAGATAGAGAGAGAGAGAGGAGAGAAGAGAGAGAGAGAGATGAGGAGGAGAGAGAGAGAGAGAGGAGAGACGTGAGAGAGAGTGTAGATAGATGATAGATAAGAGAGAGAAGAGAGAGAGGAGAGAGAGAGACAGGAGAGAGCGAGAGAGAAGAAGGAGAGAGAGAGAGAGAGAGAGAGAGAGAGAGGAGAGGAGAGAGGAGAGAGAAGGAGAGATGTAGATAGATGAGATATGATAGAAGATAGGATAGATAGAATAGGATAGAGGAGGAGAGAGAGAGAGCAAAGAGAGAGGGCGCCGCGCAGATATATATAGATATTACATATGATATATATTATTAAAGTAATATAGCTCGAATATGGTATAGATGATTAGTCTATAGTATAGCCGGTGAGAGAGAGAGAGACGAGGACAGGAGAGAGAGAGAGAGAGAGAAGAAAGAAACAGTGATTGTGTCAGGCGACACATATCGCAGCTGCTTTGACACAGCGACACAGCAGGCAGCAAGCAGGCAGCATCAGGCAGCCCACGCGCGACAGCGAGCAGGTGTAACGAAATCGCAATCTCAACCGCCCGTGCGCAGAATGCGCTGAATGGCGGGCCAAAAATCGCCCGAAAGCATCAATCCATCCTGACGCAGAAAGCGGACGAACGGCGAGAGTGACTGCGACTGTTCTAGCGCCCTTGTTTCGTGCTGTGTAAGATGGGAAAGGCGCAAAGATGCCAGTTGTGTCAGTCCCGGTCTACAGCCGCTGACGTCATTTAATGTGAAGTCCGCGACAAATCTTCACGTCACGACGAATCAGGACGTCAAGGAGCAAGCTGACCTATAGTTTTTATCGTACAGGGTAGCAACTGCAGTAGTTTGTGGACGAACACCTCTATTACAGTTAGGCGTGATTGAGATCATCTAGTGGTGTATAGTGCACGGCCATGATACAGATAGCTCTTTATGGTCACGTATTGAACAGGAGAAAACAACTTGTAGGATCGTGTAGTGGTGGTGGATAACAACTAGTCAGCAGTTCCGCGGCTGCGGAAATCCGACGTTGCTAGGGAAGGCCGTGATATCATAGCCTTCATGGTCCACGTATTCGTGAAAGGTAAACGAAAATGCGTGAGAGTGAATCTAGATTCAGTACAGTCAATGAACATCTTCAAACCTGCTGTCATGATCAGCGTAATCAGTGATTATAAGAGTGTATCTAATGAATTCGTGAGCATGGTAGCATCTCCATTCTTCATGACGACGGCATCGCGTGATTGATAAGAGCGCATTGGAGTCATTACACACACGCTAAATTCGCATATAATGGCGTAGTGCCGAGGATTCGTGAGTCATGGATGAACATCACAACTCCTTCATGACGAACATCATTACTGATAAACGAGCTCATGTGGGAGTCATCGACACACCCGTATTCCATCTCACCTGCCGACACTAACAGCGAATTAGAGTGTGATCCTAGTAACCGTGCAGTCAGTGATACTATCTTCAACTGCTTCATAATCGACTATCAGTGATTTGTAAGAGTGTATCTAGCTACTCGGTGCAGTCCGCATGGTACAGTCTTCAACTGCATCATAGACGACGTATCAGTGATTTGTAAGAGTGTATCTTAGTACTCGTGGCAGTCATGGTAGCAATGTCTGCCAACTCTCCGTAGACGACGTATCAGTGATTGATAAGAGTGTATCTAGTATGCGTGCAGAGTCATGGTACTCTCCCAACTCTCCATAGAGACTATCGTGATTGTGTAAGAGTGTTCAAAGTACAGTTGTCGTGCAGTCATGGGTACATCTCCAACTGCTCTCATAGGACGAGCTATCAGTGGATTTGGTAAGAGTGTTATCTAGTATCTGTGGCAGTTCATAGTGTTAGAATCTTCCAACTCGTTATCATACGACGACTATCAGTGATTTGTAAGAGTGATCTAGTACTCGTTGGCAGTCATTGGTAACATCTTTCAACTCTTCATAACGTATATTCAGGATTTGTAAGTGTATCTATGATTGCGTGAGTCATGTCTATTAGGCATCCACCACGCTCATCATAAGATACTCGCTGTATTCCTAGCAGTGAAGGGTGTGGTAACGCAACGACCTGCCCGCCAGCTCCACCCCTGCTCCCCGCGCCAGCGCCCACATGCCCGCCGCCACCACCACGCCCACATCCCCACCACCCGTCGGAACATCCCGCCCGCTCAGCCGGCCCAATCCCTCCGCCAACCCCGCCTGCCACCCCCTCACACCCTCAGCCAATCCTTCAGGCCTGACCGCCTACAGCGCATCCCGCGCCA